GGAGAAAGGCCAGCTCAGGCTTCCACAGAAAGTACAGGCTGTGGGTTGGCTGCCCTCAAACACATCCACAAGACAGTCCATGGTTTATATTCTTTTTTAAAAATTTTTTAAAGATTTTATTTATTTGACAGAGAGAGAGAGAGAGAGATCACAAGTAGGCAAAGAGGCAGGCGGAGGGAGAGGGAGAAGCAGGCTCCCCGCTGAACAGGGAGCCCAATGCAGGGCTCAATCCCAGGATGCTGGGATCATGACCTGAGCCGAAGGCAGACACTCAACCAACTGAGCCACCCAGGCGCCCCTTTGGTTTATATTCTTAAAAGTTCATTTAGTTGCCTTATGGAAAGAGATTTAGGGACTTGCATTAACCTCCTAACTGTAATCCAAGTAGGAGAGGAGGGTAGCTTGGGTAAGAATGGTAGGAGGAAAGGGAGAGAGGACCGATTTGAGACATATTTTGGAGATAAACCGGCCATGAGTTACTAGTAGAGAGAGGTACCACTTGCTAAGGGTATCTCTTGGAAGGTAACAGGGGCATAATAAACTGGGGGGAGAAGAAAACAATTAAGAATTCCATACTTGGTTTGTTAAATTTGAGATGCCTATGAGAACTCCAAGTAGAAATATCTAATAAACAATCAGCTACATGTGGTCTGAAGTATACAAGAATGGTCTAGATTAAAGATTATTTGCATTATCATCAACTTATCTGAGCCTTCATCTCTGCCTCTAAATTCCACTTTTTAGAAGAGCAAATTGAGGACTCTTTTTTTTTTCTTTGAGAGAGAGAGAGAGAGAGAGAGAGAGCGCGTGCACAGCAGGGAGAGGTACAGAGGGAGAGAGAGAATCCCAAGCAGGCCCCATGCCCAGCATGGAGCGAGACACGGGGCTTGATCCCACAACCCCGAGATCATGATCTGAGCCAAAACCAAGAGTCAGATACACAACCAACTGAGCCACCAGACGCCCCCAAACTGAGGACTCTTAAACAGAAGGGAAACAAAAATCATCCACTGTTACCACCACCTAGAGACCATCACTACTTCATTTTTGGTGTATTTCCTCTTAGCACTATGTAGTTTGGCCTTGCTTTTTTGTTCTAAGTAATCTCTACACCCAACATGGGGCTCAAACTCACGACCCCAAGATCAAACAACCCATGTTCTACTGACTGAGCTAGCCAGGTGCCGCAATTTGGTCTCGTTTCCACATGTCACAAGTCGTCTTCACTCCCCATTAGAAACCCTTTTTAATATCTGTTTTACTGGCTGCATAGTATTTCCTCAAAGAGATGTGTGTTAAGAGTTAACTTCTTTTTTTTTTTTTTAAGATTTTATTAATTCATGAGAGACAGAGAGAGAGGGAGAGAGAGAAGCAGAGGGAGAAGCAGGCTCCCAAGGAGCAGGGAGCCCGATGCAGGACTCAATCCCAGGATCCTGGGATCATGACCTGAGCCAAAGGCAGACACTTAACCATCTGAGCCACCCAGGCGCCCAAGAGTTAACTTCTACTTCTTTTCATACGACATTTAGATTGCTTCACAAAAATAGTTCAGAGCTAAATTCATATATGAAAACATTTGGCCAAAGCATTCCTTGGGTGTGCACAGTAGGTTCTGCAGCAACCAATACAGTCAGACCTGTTCACATTGATAGAATGTTTTACAATTTTTAAAAATATTTTATTTATGTTTTTTGAGAGAGAGGGAGAGAGCACAACCATGGGGGAGGAGCAAAGGGGGGGGGAAGAAGCAAACTCCTTGCTGAGCACAGAGCCCGACACCAAGCATGACTTTAGCCAAAGTCAGATGCTTAACTGACTGAGCCACCCAGGTGCCCCAGAACGTTTTACAATTTAAGAAAGCAGTCACATCTGTTCTTGTTTGATGTTCAGAAAAATCCTATGAAGCAAGTATGAGCGGGCCGTACTACTCTAATTTTGTCAACAAAGAATTTGTGGCTCAGGGAAGGAAAATGTCTTGCTTGATGCTGCACTATCTAAAAGTGGGTTCTCTGGCCTCCTGCTCTTTCCCTTGCCCCAAGCGATCCTTGGTAAAGGAGAGTTATTAACCAGTCTGTGTCAAGAAAGGACACTGGGTGTTTTGTTTTTTTTTTTTAGGAAAAGAGGGCAAAAAGACTGGAAAATTCTTTGGCTCAGAACCAGACAAGGGGAAGTCAACGGTTTTGGCATTTACTTCCTTATTTACTTATAAAAGATTTTTAAATCCCACAACCCCGAGATCATCACCTAAGCCAAAACCAAGAGCTGGACACCTAACCGACTGAGCCACCAGGTGGGAAAGAGAAACCTAAGCAGACTCCACATTGAGCATGGCGCCTGACATGGGGCTTGATCCTGCAACCCAGGAGATCACGACCCGAAACCAAGAGTCAGAACCTTAACCAAATGCACCACCCAGGTGCCCCCTATTTTTTTAAAGATGTATTTATTTATTTGAGGGAGAGAACACATGCGAGTGGGGGTGAGGGGCAGAGGGAGAAGGAGAGAGAATCTCAAGCAGACTCCCCACTGAGCATGGAGCCTGACGTGGGGCTCGATCTCATGACCCTGAGATCATGACTTGGCCAAAATCAAGAGTCAGAGGCTTAACCGACGGAGCCACCCAGGTGCCCCAACAGTTTTGGCTTTTAGACATGGCAGGGTCCAAGGTCTGCTAAAGAGCAGTACAAAAGGGCTTGAGTAGCAAAGATCAGCTAACAGGATCTTCTGTGACTACTTTGGTTTGAACACCCAGAGAAATTTATTTAAGAATGTCAGTTTAACAGGATTAAGTATTGATTTCTAAACACTCTGTGTTCTTTCACCCTCAAATACCTTCTCTCTGCCTGAGACAACTCTATTCCACCTCCACCAAACAAACTCCACTGTGTGCTTCAAGTCCCAGTTTCAATGCTGCCTCCTCTGTGACAGCACCCTCTGCATCAGCACTGAACACACACTCCCAGCACTGAACCCCCACAGTACTTTATACGTCTCTCTGAAGATGCTTATCAAGCTCTCCCAGGTGTAACAGGTATTAGTGTCCTTCTTCTCTGCTGCTGGTCCATATCTAATTCATTGTTTCACTGAAGATAGTAGAAGTGTGCTCAATAAAGGAACATTTAAGAGGGGGAAAAAAGTCTCAATGTACAGTCATTAATCACATAGATTTGTCTAATAAGAGAAAATAATTTCAGAGCCACTTTTGTTTTCCCTATTTCAATAAGGAACTCAAAGTTCTTGTAAAAACTATAGTAAAATATGGTATAAACATTACTTTAAAAGAGATGGGGTGGGGGCCTGGCTGGTTCAGTCAATAGAGCATGCGACTTGATCTCAGGGTCGTGAGTTTGAGCCCCAAACTGGTGTGGAGATTACTTTAAAAAAAAAAAAAAGTATAAAAACAAAAAGAACCCAAAACGTTACCAAGACACAAATCCAGAGACTAAATAGCTAGGAACGTTTTTGGTTTTGCATGTTGTATTATAGATGAGTTCACACGATATACGAATCTGTATTTGGCTTTCTTCACTGAAGAAATATATATATATATATATATAATATTTCGTAAGTTTTTCATCACATCAACAAGATGCTCTAGGATTGTTATTTTTTCATGGGCTAAATAACATTCCATACAATGGAGGTAACAATATTTAACTAAGCTGCTACTGTTGGCACACAGGTTTTGGGTTTTTTTTAAATCATTAATATAATGCAGTTATGTATTACTTGTAAATTGTAAGTTAATGAAAATAAAATTTTGCTAGGTAAATAATACCGGGGTATCTCTTCACATTAAGTTTTTTTTTTTTAAGATTTTTATTAATTTTTATTTTTTTAAGATTTTATTTATTTATTTGAGAGAGAGAGAGCACATGGGGGGGCAGAGGGAGAGGGAGGAGCAGACTCCCTGCTAAGCAGGGAGCCCAACAGAGGGTGATCCCGGATCATAACCTCAGCCATAAGGCAGACACTTACCTGACTGAGCCACCCAGGCGCCCCTTTGTGGTGTTTTTAAAATATGCCCATAAAAAATAATAATAAAATAAAAAAATACAATATGCCCATAAATTCTTTGATATTCCTTCCTTCAAGAAGTAGGATATCAGTTCTATATTAGTGTGGGCTGGACTTACTGACTCACTTCTAATGAACAGAATGTGATGGAAATGAAAAACATGTGACTTCCAAGGGTAGGTCATAAAGGACACTGTGGATTCCATCATGCTCTCTCTTTTGGATAACTCACTATGGAGGAAACCAGATGCCATGCCATAATGACACACAAGCAGCCCATGGAGAGATCCCTGTCACCAGGAACTGAGGTCTCCTGATAACAGCTGGAAAGGTCTTTCCTGACAAGCCAACAATCTTAGAATTGGAACCTCCAGCTCCAGTCAAGCCTTCAAACGACTACAGCCCTAGTTCCCTGGTTAATGTCTTAACTGCAAACTCATTAGAGACCCTGAGGCATACAGCTAAGCCAATCCCAAATTCCTGACCTATAGCAACTATGTGAAATAATAAGTTCATTGGAATAATTTCTTATTTAGCAATAGATAAACACGACTCACTACTCCAGTGATAACTGCAATTAGGGCATGAGGCAAAAAGATAAGATGGTAGAGAATTAATTACTGGTCCCTTGCTCTGTGCCAGGCACATGCTGATGCCTTTACCTGCATTATCTTATTTAATCCTCACACCAACCCTATGAAGCAAGTACTATTTTTCTCCATTTTACAGGTGATATAACTAAGGCAGAGTTAAAGTGACTGGCTCAAAGTCCCACTACTTGCTAAAAGCATTCCCCAAGGTTGGCCAGACTTGAAAGGTTATGTTCTTCCCCCACCCACCCTGAACTCTCTCCAAATCTTCCTACAATGGCTTCCCAAGGTCTGCAAGGACCCTTCTGTGAAAAGGGCACAGCACGAGGCTCAGGATGTGAGGCCAGCATGACTATCAATAACAATGACCAAAGAAAGCAGAGGCCTCCTTACCTTTCCCAGTCACATAATAGGCCCCCAGTTTGTAGCAGCTATCACTGTGTTTGTTCTCTTCACAGTTGAACTTCAACACCTTGGCAGCCTCCTCAAAATTCTTCTGGATCCCTTCCAAATAGTCCACCAGCCGAGAGCATCCTGTGAGGAAAAGGCAAGAGCTGTTCTTCATGTTCGGGGCTGCTGCACAGCAGTGGGGAAGGCTGAGGTAGGGCGGGCCAAAATGTCTTTTATTTAGGACCAGCTTCTGTCCTCCTGAGGGGTGGCAAGGTGACCTCACCACAAAGAATGCAGGTGGTGTTCAGTCATTCCTACAAATGGCATCATCTGCCCTTAGGCAGGGACTGAGCAATATACAGGCTGGAGAGACCATGGCCGCTGTACTGGCTCCACCACTCACCAGCCATCCGGGTGGAGCCCTTCTGCTCCCTGTCACCCAGGGCCAAAGACTCACTGACTTCCACGATTGAAACTTTGCTACCTTTGGAACTTCCCAGGAAGTTCAGCAATAAAACACTGGAAACCAAAAGGGTCCATGGGCTAGTCTTTGTAGTAGCAAGAAAGGTGTGCCTCCATGACGATACACCTCAGCCAGGTTGGGAATGAGAACCCCAATGACAGAGTAGAAATAGTAGCTACTAAAGGAGTTGGAAATAAGACTCTCTCTTTGGCAGTCTCTGGTCCCAGTGAGCCTCTTCTTAACATCTCTCCCCTCTGTTTTTGTCCCTTCTTCTTCATCCCAAATGACACTCAGCTCATTCATTTTCATTCAACAAATATTTGCGCATTTATGTGCAACCATGTACCAAACACTGTTCTAGAAGCTGGGAATATAGTCACTTGCCCTCCTAAAAATTACATTCTAGAGGAGGGGAAAAAAAATAATAGGTGAGCAAGATGCATTTATTTTTTTAAGATGCATTTAAACAGTAATAAATTGTTATATGATTGAAATAAAACAGGATAGGATAGTTCATTATGCACGTTGGGGGAATAGTTACCATAAACTGGGCAGTCAGGGAGGGCCTAGTAAGGACTGTGATGTCCAAGCTGAAATGTGAATAACAAGAATGAACTAGCTATTTTTTTTAAAGATTTTATTTATTTATTTGATAGAGACACAGCGAGAGAGGGAACACAAGCAGGGGGAGTGGGAGAGGGAGAAGCAGGCTTCCCGCGGAGCAGGGAGCCCGATGCGGGGCTCGATCCCAGTTCGCTGGGATCATGACCTGAGCTGAAGGCAGACGCTTCACGACTGAGCCACCCAGGGGCCCTGAACTAGCTATTTAAAGACAATGAAATGGAATGGGGCAGAAAGTCCCAGGTACAAGAAACAATAGATAAAAAGACCCAAAAGAGGGAATAAGTTTGGTACAAATAAGGTATAATGTAGCTGGATCGAGGAGAAAAGGGGTAGGAAATGAGGAGAGAAAGGCAGGGGCCAGATCACAGGGCATTGTGGAACACAGGAAGGACTTAGGATTTTATTCCAGGTCAATGGCAAACCACTGGAGGGTTTTAAGAAGGGCAGTGATATGATTCAATTTGCATTTTTATTTATTGTTTATTTTTTAAATATTTTATTATTTATTTGACAGAGAGAGAGAGAGCGTGCACTCGAGAGAGCAGAAGCAGGGGGAGAGGCAGAGGGAGAGGAGAAGCAGCCTCCCCGCGGAGCAGGGAGGCAGACGCAGGGCAGGGCTCCATCCTGGGACCCTGGGATCATAAGCTCTGCGCAAGGCAGACACTTAACCAGCTGAGCCACCTAAGTGCCCCCAATTTGCATTTTTAAAAGGTTACTCCAGTGTATATGTTTGTACATGCCTGGATGAATACGGAAGAACAAAATACATGAAGGGGTACACTCCAGCACTGATAACAACAAACGTGTTGCTTTGTTATTTAAAAATCTAATAAGATAGCATTTAGTAGAACAAAATGAAAATTCAACTACCAGTTTGAGGGCAGAGAACAGATTTTAAGGGAGTGAGCATGCAAACAGAGTCAGGTTAGGCGGCTATTTCAGTAATCCTGGTGAGAGATCATGATGACTTCAAAGTACAGTAGCTATAGTAACGATAGCCTCCTCTAAGGCTCTCCTTCTGAAGTGCTGCAGCCAGTCCTTTTACGCCCACCCTCCGCACTCCACTGCTCGGTATACTACTCTCCAGCATACATTACCACGAATTCTCTCCTCAAAAACATGTATGGCTCTCCACTGCCTACAGAAAAAAGTCTAAATGCCTTACCCTGGCATTCAAGGCCTGACACACCGTGGCCCAGACTCCCTCTTCAATCGTATTTCTAACTATAGCCTCACTTCAATCTTCCACAAGACAGCATTCTCTTCTCCCACACTGTCCTCCATTTAATCAACACTTGCCTGCTCCTCCTGACCTCCCCCAGAAGTCTTCCCCAACTATCCTGCTCCTCAGTGACTCCAACTCTTCTTAGGACACTGGCGAGCCCTCAGAGAACCACCCTGGGTTCTTGTTAAGCCATTATACAGCAGAGCAAACTCTGGCTAGTTGGTTAGCTTCAAGAAATAGCTTTTTCATAATCTGGAAACCAGACTGCAAGCTATAAGAAGGTTGGGCCAGTGTCATTTTTTTTTCCCTTTATAAAAATAAAGTAGGAAGAAGAAAACCACCCAAAGGTACTGGCTGCTCTGGGTGACCACTGACACACTCAAGTCAACTCAACGTTCCCAGAACACAAGGGGCACATTCATGCCTCAGGGCCTTTTCACTAGCTGTTACCTCTGCCTAGCATAGATCTTCCTGACCTTCCTCAAGGCTCTGTTCAAATGCCACTTTCTCACTGACTCCCTCTGACCACTTAATTTAAAAACTGCCCTCAACTCCCCATACCTGTCAGTCCTTTTTCCCATTGCAGACTTTCTAACATACGATTTCATTTATTTCCTTACGTTTATTGTCCAACTCCCTCCACTACAATGTAAGCTCCAGAAGAACAGGGAATGGTATCTGTTCACTGATGTAACCCCACCCCTCTCTCCCAACACCCAAGCACATCTCCTCGTACCCGCCCCGGCCTCCAGGCTCGGTCCCGCCGAGGATCCCCCCGCTGCGAGGCCCGCAAGCCCTGGAAGAACCCAACCCGTTCCCCCCCAAAACACACAAGGTCGTCAGTGTCCCACCGCGTCCCCACGAGTCCCCGGCCGGAGACCCCTTCCAGACCTCCTTCAGCGGTCGCTCGTGACCCGTGCGGCCCCCACCCTTCCCCCATGCGCCCCCACGTGTCCCCAGGCTGCGTTGGCAGCGCTCACCGTCCGGGTCCTTCTCGCGGTAGCACTGGTAGTTGCACTCCACCTCCATGTTCTCCAGAAACGACTTCACCTGCTCCTCATCCTGGAAATCCACCACACCCGCCATGGCCCCTGCTCGCCCAGCCGAGGTTAGCCCGCCGCGGCTCAGCACAGCCGCCCTGCGGTCACGTGAGCTAGCGGAGGGGCGGGGCCCCGGAGGGGCGTGCCGCCGAGGGCTGCGCGCTCACCCGGTATTCCGGAAGCGGGAGAACCGCGAACCTAAATCCTGGAGCTGTCGAAGCTTCAAGCTGTTAAAAACCTTGCTGCCCTCATTCCTTTCCTAAAACCGGTGACAGTCTTTCTGCAGCACTTTTTCTGTGCCAGCTTTGTGCCCTTCATGATTTTCTGCCTGCAGTTATTTAGTTCTTCATTCATTCGTTTGTTTGGTGATCTCTAAGTGCCGACTGTGTGCCTCACCAAGTGCTTGGTTCCAGTAATACAATTGGGAAATATGGTCCCTGCCTTTAAAGAGCTTGCAGTTTAGTAGGAAGACATTTGTTTATTCATTCAGCAAGCATTCTGAGCATCTACTATGTCAGGTATAGCTGCACAAACCAATATTCATAAGTCTATTCTAGTGCAATGAGAAGTCTGGTTCATCTGTATGTTCCTCCCAGACCTATTCCCCCATCCCCCCGCCCCCAACCTGAATGACCTAAGAATTGAATGGCTGTGGGAGATGATGTTGGAACACAGGAGCTACAGAGGTTGTAGTAATAATTCTATTATAATAGTGAATGCTTAAACAGTGTTGAAAATTTTGTTCCAGATTCCATTCTAAGAGATTTATACAAAGTCTTATTTAATTCTCACTATGACCCCTATTGTGACACTATGGGGTAGGTATTCTTATACCCATTCTGCAGATGAGGAAACTGGGCTACAGAGAAGTTGAGTAACTTGTCCAAGGTCACACAGGAAGTGAGAGTAATTGTGCGATAAATATATTTTTTTTAAATAAAAGAATGCATGTGGTACAAGAGGAACATGTAAAGGAGATGAAGGAGGGAAACTTTGCCTGGTTTTTGCTTTGTTCTCTTGAACAGAATCATCAGTTCCATAAAGCCTAGACCGAAAGCTCTCCAAAGACAGTCAGATCTTGCTCATTTTTGAGTCCTAGCCAACCCTATTCTAGAGTCCTCAGTGGTACTCAGTCCATGGTTTACCTTCACCTATAGCAATGCTTCCCCAATGACTCCACTATTAACCTATCCTTAAAGGCATCGGAGAGTCGACCACTTCCAACCCTTCCTTATTGGGGAGCAGCTTACTGCAACTGGAAAATGTCTTTGAAGTCCCAATTTTACTTTAAAAATTCATGTGATTTCACATTCAATTCCATAGTAATATATCTTTCATAGGAAAACACAAGAGTGCTTTCTCCCCAAGCCTTTTGGTAAAATTGACATTTCAAGAGATATGCCACATTTTCGTGTGGTTTCTCATACCCCTGATCACCTTGGGAGACCCCTCAGTACACATACTCCTGGAAGGGAAGCCCTGACCTTTGATTTTGAGCCCACCTGCCTTAGCCTGGCCTTCAAGGCCCTGTACAATCTGATTCTAACTTCATATCATGCCTCTCTTCCCCCATACCCCACCCAACCTTCTGATCTCTGAATAGGTCACAGGTTTGTGTCCCTGTTTACTGCTGTTCTTAAGGCCTGAACCCCCCTTCTCTGCCCAAATCAGAGATTCTCACCTCTGTAGAGTCTTCCCAGGTGCAACAACCACACACCTCCAAAGTAGATTTAAACATTCCCACTTCAGGGGGTCCTGGGTGGCTCAGTCAGTTAAGCATCCAACTCTTGATTTAGGCTCAGGTCATGATCCCTCAGGGTCATGAGAAGGAGCAGCAGGTGAGGTTCCATGCTCAGCGGGGAGTCTGCTTGAGATTCTCTCTCTCCCTCCGCCCCTCCGCCCCTGAAATAAATAAATAAATAAATAAATAAATAAATCTTTAAATGCTCCCACTTCAGTGTTCCACACTACTTGGTTTATTCTGGTATAATATAGTAGGAAAGGACTGGCTTTGGAGGACAGACAGATCTTAATCAGAATCTATGTCCCTCCCATGTTTACTAAATTGTGACCTTGAACCAATCACATTTATGAGCTTGATTCCTCTTCCGTAAATGAAAATTCCTTGTGGCTGTCAGTAGGATTAAAAGTTCATGTATGCAGTGTGCTTAGTGGAGTCTGGCTCAGAGTCATTCCTGTTGCAGAAATGTTTCTTGTCATGCCAATAATGGCATGAAAGTCTGTGTCCCCCATGACACTGTGAGCTCTATGTCCCTTTTGCCAGTCACAGGGTCAAGAATAGAGCAAAGGTTGGTGAAGGTGATGTAGATAGCTAAGGTCAGGGACAGGCCACAAATTATACTTTTCCCATAATCATTTTTGCTGAGTTGAACTACATTAAAATGAGCCCACCTGAGCAGTAGGGGGTGATAGAGAGTTAGGGAAAAGATGGAAGATAGGGTGAGCCAAGTATGAAATCACATACTTAAAAGGAAATTTAAGGTCGTCAAAAAAGCAGCCAACTTCTTTTTTTAGTCCTGTCCTTATCTCTGTAGATTTATTCCCCCTTATTCTTATAAATGTGCACATTTACTTTTTAAACTTATTTAATTATTCAAGTAATACATGAATACATACTTATTGTGAATTAATCTCATGTTTTTCACCTAATACTCCTTTTCGTTAAGCATGATATGGCTTGTAGACACTGTTTAGACTGTTGCAGAGAAATCAAAGGTCAGCGAAGTTAAATGATTTACTCTAAAACACATAGTGAGAGGAGGCGCCTGGGTGGCTCAGTTGGTTAAGCGACTGCCTTAGGCTCAGGTCATGATCCCAGGGTCCTGGGATCGAGCCCCGCATCAGGCTTCCTGCTCTGAGGGAAGCCTGCTTCTCCCCCTCACACTCCCCCTGCTTGTGTTCCCTCTCTCGCTATCACTCTGTCAAATAAATAAACAAAATTCTCTAAAAACAACAGCAACAACAACACATAGTGAGAGGACCAGGAGGGGAAAACAGACGCTTTAGAATCCTAGAGTTCACAATAACCATCCCAGATCCTGGAGGAAAGAATTGAAGAGCATTATGGCACTCAACTCCTGACTCCAGACTTGGATTCAGCTATTATTAATTGACCACTAATTATGAGTTTAGTACTTTAGGTTCATTATCTCATTTATTCTTCATTCATTCAACAAACATTCCCTGGATGCTGAAAAATTGCTAGGGCTTGAGGGATGCCGAATTGAAAAATGCAAGATTTCAACAAGAACATGCAACTCTTGGAAGAGGAAAAGCACTGGTCGATAAACATATGATGAGATACTCCTCCTAATCATCAAAGGAAGGCAAACTAAAAACAGTGTGATAGCATTTTTCATCTCTTAGACCAACAAAGACTGGCATCCTGTGTTTGAAAGAATGCTGAGAAATTGGCTTTCCAATACATTATTGGTGGGAATGTAAATTGATGCCTCCTCTTTGGAGAGCAATTTGGTAATATTTATTAACATTTAAATGTGCTTTTATGTATTTTGGGGGGTGGGAGAAAAATTTGCAAACCTATCCCACAATGGACTTGTATCCTGAACATACAGAGAATTCCTACAACTCAACAATAAGAAGACAATGTTTTAAAAAAATGAGCAAAATATTTGAGTAGACGTTTCACCAAAGACATATGGATGGGCAAAAGGCACACAAAAAGACACCCAGCATGTGAAAATGTAAATAAAAATCCACACTGAGATATCACTACACAACTACTAGAATGACTATAATCAACAAGACAAACAATACCGTGTGTCGATGAGAATATTAAAAAACTGGAACCCTTCTATACATTTCTGATTGGAATTCAAAATGCTGTAGCCACTTCATATTTTTGTTTGTTTGCTTGCTTGCATTTTATTTTATTGTGGTAAGCACACTTAACATGAGATCCACCCTCTTAACAAATTTTTAAGTGTACAATATATTATTGTCAACTGTAGGTACAATGTATAGTGTTGTACAACAGATTTCTGGAGTTTATTCATCTTGCTTAACTGAAACTCTATGCCCTTGACTAGTAATTCCCCATTTCCCCTTCTCCCTAGCTCCTGGCAACCATCATTCCACAATTTGAGTCTAAGAATTTGACTGTTTTAGATAACTCATAGAAGTACTTGTCCATTATGTAGTACTTGTCTTTCTGTGACTGTCTCATTTCACTTAGGATAATGTCCTCAAGTTGTTGTTGGGTTTTTTTGTTGTTGTTGTTGTTGTTTTAAGTAGGCTCCATGCTGGGCCCCAACACAGGGCTTGAATTCAGGACGCTGAAATCAAGACCTGAGATGAGATCAAGAGGGATGCTTAACCAACTGAGGCACCCAGGTGCCCCTGTCCTCAAGTTTTATCCATGTTGTAGCATATTGCAGAATTTCCTTCTTTTTAAAGTCTGGATAGTATTCCAGTTGTGTATATCTTCTACATTTTGTTTATCTGTTCACCTCTCAAAGGCGTTTAGGTTGTTTCCACATCTTGGTCACTGTGAATAATGCAGCAACAAGCATGAGGGTGCTAATATCTCTTCAAGATGTTGATTTCAATTCTTTTGGATAAATAGCCAAAAGTGGGATTGCTGGATCATATGGTAATTCTATTTTTAGGAGGCACCTGGGTGGCTCAGTCGCTAAGCGTCTGCCTTCATCTCAGGTCATGATCCCAGGGTCCTGGGATCGAGCCCCGCATCAGGCTCCCTGCTCAGCGGGAAGCCTGCTTCTCCCTCTCCCACTCCCCCTGCTTGTGTTCCCTCTCTCGCTGTGTCTCTCTCTGTCAAATAAATAAATAAAATCTTTAAAAAAAAATTCTATTTTTAATTTTTTGAGGAACCTCCAAACAGTTTTCCATAGTCGCTGCACCATTTTGCATTCCTGTCAACAGTGTACAAGAGTTCCAATTTTTTTTTTAGTTTTAATGTAAATTCCAGTTGGTTAACACACATTGTAATATTAGTTTCAGGTGTACAATTTAGTGATTCAACACTTCCTTATATTATCGGGTGCTCA